GATCACCAGAATGCTGAGCCCTCCCAGGCCTTCCAGAGGCAGTTCTATGTATTTGTATGTTTGCCATCTACTGACGAAAGAGTTTTAGGGCTTGAACGAGGCAGGACATTGGATTGAAAGTCTGCTTCCAATCACTCCTTCCTTCTTTCCTTTGTCCCTTTCCCTGGTTGAAGCCAGGATAGTGTCTCTTGTTCATGTCTTTACTGTACCTCTCTCCTCCCCAATCCCCCCAGATTCCCAGATCTCCACTATGGGGATGGAAATGGATCCAGGTGGTGTGAGGGGGGCTTCTGAGAGGCTGGATATTAGGTCTGGAGTTAGAGAAGGCTGAGAAATGGGCTCTGGCTGCTCTGGGGTCCCAGCCTGGGGCCCCTTACTCCAGCCAGCATGTGGGACAGGGGAGCAGGGGATGTCCGTGGGTGGGGATCACATCCTCAAGTTGTTCCTCTTACCTCAGGGGCAGTTTCTGGTATCATGAAAACCATGGGACCAAATCAGGCACTTCTTCCCTGAAGTGTAGATGCTTGGTGATTTTCTACGGCCACTGGTCGTGGCAAGATTTCTGGCTTGCAGCCTTCTGGGCTCATGTTCCTTCATCCCGCCTGGGGTCCTGAACAGCAGGGCTCCTCTTGTTTACTTTGGGAAGGCTGCTGACTTGCCGACGTGGACGTGGTTTTAGAGGTGACTCATATAAGCCTATTTTGAGAAAACCTGATACATAGAAAGTTTAAGTTACAAAACCAAGAAATGAAGGCATAGCCACTCCTTTAATAAAGAGATTCTTTCCAGATTCCTGTACATCATGAATGTTCCCAAGAGGAATTTCAGGGTTCCTCAATTTGCTCACAACGTTTTTTAGGTGCCTCTCTATGGAGTGAGCAGCGAAGCCTTCAAGGTGGCACAAGGGGACACTTGGGCACAGAGTTTGGGGACAGTAACATGGCCAGGAAGCTTGTACATACAGGGCGGCTGGGTTGGAAGAGTAGCTGAGGACACTCAGCAAATTAAAGACATTTCTCTTTTATCCATCCCTTGCCCTCATTAATTTTCCCCAATGCATTGTTTTTCCAGGACTGCAGTGAAATGAATCTTGCTCATGATTTGTCTAGTCATAATTAGAGTCTTCCTTTCTCTTGTTAGACAGTAATGCCAATAACGACTGCAAACATTTTGTCTCCTTTTTGCAAGGCAAAGAGCCAAAATCAATATATCTGTGAGTTGATGTCAGATTTATAACACAGAGATGCAAGCTTCACAAGCCATATGTGTGCCAAATTTTCATTAAGACTTTGGAAGGTTTAAACCATGCATTAAGAAAAGACCCTGCTTTTTCCTGATGAATTTTTCTTCTTATTTGTTCCTACTGAAAGCCAGAGATTTCTGTTTACCATGACTCATTTTCAGGCGAGGTGAGTGGGAGGAAAGAGAGATTGATGGAGGAGGAGGGATCATATGAGAAGTGAAGAGGACAGGGGAGTGAGGGAGGAGTCTGAGGCGGATCCTAATAGGAGGGAAGGGAGAGACTAAAAGAGAAAGTATTAGTGTTACCGCCCAACGTGGGGCCTTCTGCTCACCAAAAGACATGCCAATAGTCAAGAAGCAAAGTGGTAGGAGAAAAAGGACTTTTTTATTACAGCTTGCTAGCAAGAGGGAAGATGGCTGACTCATGTCCGAAAGAACCATCTCAAGGGGGCACGAAATCTGACAGCAATTATTATAGGGGGTTAGGAATGTTGACCTTCTGGTGTTACAGACTGGGAGTGCCACACCAGATCTTTCAGTTTTCACTGATGATGGCTATCAGCATAGACTCTCTGTTTGGGGGTCATCATATTCCTAAGGAATGCAAAAAAACAAAGTTATCATCTTATCGCAGCTGGGAGGTACAGCCACAAGCAGGGGTCATAAAATCTACAGAGCAGTTAGATCTCCTGGAGGGTGCATATCCAGCTGGGTTAGTTTGTCAGAGGTCGTTCAAAGTTACAATAGAGTTTTTCTTTTCTACAACATGGCTTCCCTTATGTCAACCTTGTCTTGAGCCAGTATCAGTAGAGACTGAGGACCAAGGGCAAGAAGTGTGTGTGCATATGTGTAGGGGAAATAGATTGCTTAGGAAGAAGCCGACAACACAGAGAGAAATTTAACTTGATTGACTTGCTTTGGCTAGTTCTTTTCACCTGGGCTCACACCCAGACATGCCAAAGAGGATAGTTTAAAAATAGACGGAATTTATTACATGTGGTTGAGCAGATTGCTCCTGAGGAGGTGTTTTCCTGGGCCCAAATGGTAGGATCCCAACTATTTTGCACAACAGAAGAGGTAATTTACTTCACACAAGTGAGCACTTAGCTCCTGGCTCCTAGGGAGAGTATTTCTTCCTTTCTGCTCAACAACAGAATGGGGTCCGTTATTCCCAGCCTTGTTGGTGGGAATTACATACCCGTAAACCAAGGAAACAAGATAATGAATGGATTTTGATATTATCCAGATGAGAGAAAGACAGCAAATCTTTCCAGGATTTCTGATTTGGGCTCCTTGTCCCACCTCCACGTGGGAACTCAAGAATGTTTTAGGAAATTGTGCTTAAAAGCTAGCTAGAGACAGGACACATATTTTTTTTTTCAGAGTTGGCAATGATGATTATTTATGTGTTTAATCTTCCAATGTTCACTCAAAAGCGCAGATTTCTCAGTTCACTCCCCAGGTGCTGGGAAAACAGGTTGGGAGTTTGATGAGCTGCCTGCTGCTGGCTCCTCTGTTTTCTGGTGTCAAGGTTTCTCAATAGTGGACTCAACAGTTGCATTTTTCACCTACAAAAGAATTGCTATCAGAAAACCGGACAGTGGATAATTGTATTTTGTGAATTGATGGTGAAGCCACTCGATTTCAGCCAAGGTCCAAACGCTGATGATGTTCAACCAGGAGAAAAGGTTTGTGTGAGAGAATTTACTTTTGAGTGCTCATTTTTACTGGAGGAAACAGTCTTGCTTGGATTTTTTTTATTCTTCTCCAATGTGCAACCAGAACATTCAGAATCCCTAACAGCTCTGGTGACCCCTGCTGTGCCGGTGTGAATGCAAGACTCCCAGTAAGACTGGAGGCTCCAACTTCAACCAGAGCATCATGCATCTCCTCAAACCTACTAGGAAAGAAAATAAAAATACGTGCCCATAAATACCCTCCTTCACGGGTGACAAATGTGCTGGCATCATGCCACCTGGCTGTACTGGAGAAGGAAACATGAAGCTGATGTGTGTCTCCCTCCTAGCACACCTCGTGCTGCTCCAGATGGGCAGAATCAAGATGCTTCTCCGGAACTGCGCCAGCTGCCCGTGTGGGCTAGACCCATCCATCCAAAGCTGCTGAAGAGCAAGTTGGCTTCCTTTCTCTTCTCCCATTCGGCCAACCAGGATGACTCTTCAGCTTTTTGGACTCCTGACCACTTTTCCTTGGAACTTGAGCAAGATAGGAGAAACCTATACTCTCCTCCTTGCCCTAGAAAAAAATGCACCAAGGGAGAGTGGCAACGAAGACAAAGCCTGAATCTGTTCCTCGCACACATTGGACTCATTGCCACCTCTGTGCATGCTGTTCAACCCACTTGGAAAACCCTTCCCTCTTCCATCAGCACCCATTTACCTAAATTTTATTCATTCTTCAAGACTCGTTAAATCCCATATGCTTCATGAACATTCTTTATCTATGAATTCACTCCCTCCCCTGTCTCTGACTGTACCTACAATCTATCCCAGAATGTAATGTGAATATAGACTGTGCTTTGTGTTTCTTCTCTCCTCCCTACTTCCCTCCTGTGCCCCGCACAGTGCTGGTCCATAATAAGCTTCAAGAAATGTTTGTTGATTGACACATCGCGGAGATGAACTGAACCTCATTCTCTTTTCTGCAGTAGGGAATGGGGCTGAGGAAGTCAGAGTTTGTGTCTCAGATGTAAGATCATCCCAATGGATTTCTGGGTCTGAACCTCACTACGGGGCAATCTTAAGGACAAGAGAATCATCCCCTGCCACCACATCTCCTTTATTCTCTCCACTATTATTATTTTTTATTTTTTTGTGAGGAAGATTGGCCTTGAGCTAACATCTGTTGCCAATCTTCCTTTTTGCTGAGGAAGATTGTCGCTGAGCTAACATCTGTGCCAATCCTCCACTATTTTGTATGTGGGACGCCTCCACAGCATGGCTTGATGAGTGGTGCATATGTCTGCACATGGGATCTGAAACTGCAACCCAGGGCCACTTAAGTGGAGTGTGTGAACACAACCACTAAGCCACCGGGCCAGCCCTTCTCCTCTATTATTTTTACGTAGACCAGGTCAAGGAGAAATGACTATGACATGAGGAGGGCAGACCCCCAGGCCGGGGCAAGGTAACCAAACATGAAGCTTTGCACAGCATATAGGGTCCCCCTGCTGTGCTTTCTGTTGATGGGGAATGTGTGAACGTTTTGGGGATCAGGCTTTCCTGAGGTCAGTCTTCAGCCACCTTGGAGATCCCTAAATTAAATAGTGTGATTACTCCTGAATTTAAAACCAGGAGGACATGGAACAGGGAATAACTAACTCTGCTGTTAAGTTTGGTGATGGTGAGCTAGTCATGGAAAGTTTCACAGGACAGGAGACCTTTGAACTGGGTCTTGAGTCTCTGGTCAGAGTCATGGTTAGCCTGGCCACAGCAGGGAAGTGCCCCCAGAAGTCCCAAAGAAGGATGATCTGATTCTAGTCTAGCAGTTGCACTGGCAGTGCAAGTGCTCTGTCCTGAGCTGTCACAGACCCAGCAGCTCAGGGTGAGACAGTGGAGCATTCTGGTGATTCTGCTATTCCACACCCCAGACACACAGGGCTGCCTTCAGAAGAGTCTTCCAACTCCTGGGCAGCTGGGATCCCAGGGGCAAGGATGGCAAGCAACTTCCAACGCTGGCTGGAGTGATGTGTGAGCCTGACAGCACTCTCTGATGGAGGGGAGACGAAATAAGCTCTTGAGATGGAATCCAAACTGCAAGTGGAAGGGACCGAAGCCTCAGTCCCAGAGGGTCCTGTTGTCAGGGACATCTGTGAGAGCGAATATCCAAGTGGGCCTGCCTCTCTGGGAGTCATCAACTCACTGCACGTCAAGCCCCCGAATGAGGACAACCTGGGGGCCAGCAATAGTGACAGCTTGGTAAGCATCTCGTGTATTACCATTAATTAAATAAAATAAAGCAATAAACAAAAAACTAGAATGTGGCTCTCCCTTCGGATGCTTGCCAGTTCTGGTAATTTTTAATGCCACTTTCAAGATTTGCTGAGAACCTGTTGGATTTGGCCGTGCTGAGGAGTGGTTTGGCCCCTGAAAGCTTTGTTTGAAATGAAATGATCTGAAGTGAAACCAAGGGAGAGGTGATCTGCCGCAGTGCCATCACAGGCTGCCTTCAATCTTGGGACACTTTAATGAAAGGCACGAGAAGAGGAAGGCTCCGAGGCATTAGCTCTGGAGTGACAATGTGCAAGCCGCTGTCACTCTGGAGGCCCCGAGAGGGGGCAGCCTGGTGTGATGTGCGGGGAGAATCATTGCGGGGCTTTTCTCTGTGATATGTTGTTCTGACCAGCCTGGAGCCTGATTATTATTTATCCATCTATCCGTCCGAAAATATTTAGTGAACATTTCTGACGTGCAGGGCGTGTGCTGGCGTGGGACACACAAGGCCACTGTGGTCTGTGTGCTCCTGGGGCTCGCAGTCCAGCCATAACAAGTGATGGCTGAGCAGTGGATTGGTGACTAGAGTGGATCTCATGTGGTCCAAGAGAATGACCAGAATATTTAGTCTAACAATTTGGTCATTCATTCAATCATTCTTTCATTTATTTGGTATAACCTACATTCATTAATTTCTAGATGCCAGGAGCTGTGCTAACTTTTGCTTGAGGAGCTCAGCACGTCATGGAGGTGGCGATGACAATGAAAAGGTACACTGAATGCAGGGAAGGCACAGAGCAGCCAACTCTCCCTGTAGGGTTGGTGATAGGGGCCTGGGTCATGGAGGTTCCAAGAGGGCAGGAGACTTTTGAATTTGGTCTTGAGAGAGGAGAAATGTGAGGAAAGAAGAGGCAGGGGAAAGTCAGACAGTGGAGGGAGATCTAGGCAGAGGCACCTGCATAGACAAAGGCACAGATGTGAGGAAGTGGGGCGTGTTGGATGGCCAGAGTGGATGTGGGGAAGTGGAGGGATAGAGGCCAGCTTTTTTTTTATTATTTGCTTGGGGCTCTGTCTGTAAATGTTAACCGGTATGCTGCTGAGATGAAATCTTAGAAGATTCAAAATTCTACAATCTGACTGCACAGCAGCTGAAAAAATGCTGGCGTGACACGCCCAAACATTCAAAATGCAAATTTGCCTTCATACTTCAAACTAGAGGCCTAAATTAATGTTTGTTTTTCTAAATCTTCTGCTTGTTATTGAGAAAAGTCTCCAAATTTCCTGGAGAGGTGGTCATGGCAGGAATGCCAGGGAAATCCTTTAAGACACCTGCTTCAGTCTTCAATTAGTTCTGATGATGAAAGCAGTCTGCCATGGGCCAAGATTCGGGGACAAAGACAGTGTTTGTCCTGGCTGCCTCACTAGGGCTGCTCATTCCCACCCTGAGAAGGAGAGTTTTCCTGAGACCTATTGCTACTCTGGATTTCTACAAAGTAACATTTCAGGGACAATCTGTTTTAACAAATGATGCTATTACGGACAAAGCTGGAATTACTTCTAATCATTTCACAAGAGACATTTTAAAATTTGCAGACAATTTTGCTATTTTGTCAGTGTGGGGAGGACCCATTTAAACTTTCCAACTATATTAATTTTTAATTTCCATTTAATGAAATTAATTCAAATTAAGAAGGTGACCATTATCAATTTCCTTTTCTATTAGTTCCTTAATGCTTTGGCAAATTGCATTTAAACTTCTTCTTCAGCGAGCTTGATACATAGTCATGGGTTTCCTAAGAAAAGATGAATTTGATCTTGATATGCTAATCCATAGCCACTGCAACAATCAAGGAGCAGCTAGGGAGACAAGAGCATTCTGGTATTAATTATGAATCAGGCATTAAGAACTGGTAAATAATAAAGAAGCTTCATGTGTCACAACACAAGTTAAGGATCTGTGTGTTTTTCCATTACCAAATAAATTTTTAGTGCTATTTCTAGTCTTATTTTGAGACTGTCTGAACCTAAACTGATATGCAGATAGGTAACACTCATTTATAGTAAACTCAGAGGACAGAATTCTGAATTTATTGAACTGCTGGTGTAGGAATACATTCAGTTTCAGAAGGTGAGGCCCTGTGTTTCCAGGAGCATCAGCTCCCCTCAAAGTTTCTTCAGTCTCTGGGGGTCTGTAAGGAGGAGTCATGCATTGGGCAAGAGGTTTTGCTACTCAGAGTACAGTCCACAGATCAGCAGCATCTATATCACCTAGGAGGTGGTTAAAATGTAGTCTCAGGCCCACCCCAGATCTACTGAATCAGATCTGCATTTTAACAAGATGTCTGGATGACTCATTTGTACAATAAAATGCTGCTAAGGTACCTTTCAGCATGAGGAATTTGTGATTCTCCAATTTCTTTGGCTTTCTCCTACATAATGGAAAGGAGACCAGGTTCCACTTTGTCCCTCTCAGTGTTCTGAATAGCCAATCTCCCCTTCTACCCCATCCTACTCTGAGGGGTTGGATACTGCTGAGGTCCATCTGAATGCCTTTAGGGTGCCAGAAGCAGTGGTCTTGGGTCTGAATCTTGGCTGTGCTCCTTGTTAGCTCTGTGACCTTAAGCAAGTTGTTAACCTCTCGAAGCCTCAGCTCCAGTGGGGATAGCTCTGCCTGTCTCCTGGGGCTGTTGTGAAGAGTGAATGAAGCCACGTCTGTAGCAAATAGCGTCTGCTAGCACAGCACTCTGCAAATGGTAGTCATGAGAAGGATGATGATGATGGCATTGAGGAAAAAGTAACATTTAGAGGAATGAATTGAAGGCCAGGAACGAGGTAATCAACTCAGTGGATGATGGAAGAATGCTTAGAGATTCTTTAAAAATAATCCCGCATTATGATTCTCTCTGCCTGACAGCCTAGAATGGAAATTTAAAGGAGAGGTTTCCTTGGCTTGGGTATTGTGAGAATAGGAGTAGTTTTCTCAGAAAGTGAAACTTGCACTGAAGAAGAGGAGAGAGGAGAATGTTTACAGTGAAATCCCAGTGCCATCTCCATTTGGACCTTCACTTCCTGACTTTGTCTGTATCAACATGTTGTCATAATTCTACCAAGTAAATGTTTGTTGCTTCACGAGGATATCACCTTTTACTCTGTTGGTGAAAATAAGTACCTTTCGTGTATTTTCTGGAGTTTAAACTAATGAGGAAAGAAAAGGAAATGTTTGAAATTTTGAAGTCTAGAAACCTCAATTTAAACATTTCTGCTTTATAAACGTACTTCAAGTCATTGTTCTCAGAGGCCCCTATTACGGACCCTGAACACAGTGACTGCCCGTAGTGGAATTCAGCCTCTCTCTTATTTCCACCCTGTAGAATCCCCTTTCTTCAGTTCCTTTAGTTACTCTTGCTCCCAAGAAGTATGAAAATGACATTTATTATAATAATACACCTTGACCTCTTCAAAGATAGAGTGAGCTGTTAGTTAAGGGTTAAGGAGACCAGATGCCAGAATGTTTTCATCGTCCTTCCAAATGTTGGGTGGGCCAGCGAACTAGAATGAGGTTTGGCATTTCCCGTTAGCAGCTGCAGGTCACAAGGTCATGGGCTCTGGCCCCACAGGAACATGTGAATACCAAATATGAAGGGCTCCTTCCTCATTCTCTGGAAGCCACAATGTGGAATTACCCATTATGGCTATGAATTGCCACTTTATTTTCAGAGTGATGAAAGACAAGAAAAGCCAAACATTAAAAAACTCTCGTCTTAAACCTTTTTAATTTTTAATCCCATAAATATAGGGGTCAGGACAAGAGGCCTTTCTTTTAAAAAATATTTTATGTCAGGTTATGCCATATATAATATTTAGCAAGCTTATTTTCTCTTGTCTGAGAGGTAAAGGATGTTTACCAGCTCCACTCACAAAACAATTTATAGTCAAATGCTGAAGTATATTCGAATTAGAACTTCAACTTCCCATTTAAATCTTGGGCACTGAATTTGATCAGGTGTCGATTGGTTCTGAAACTCTGAACTTAGTTCCAAAACTGGTTGCTTACAGAATCTATTGGGTGGGGGGGTGAAGGGGCTGTTAGGTTTGACATCAGAAATGTCCTCAGCTGCAATGACTTTCTCCTTCCAATCTCCCCGAGGACTGTGTACCTTATTTTAGGCCCATAGTGGGTAAGACTCATAGGCGGTATTGTCCTCCTCTGGGGACCTGAGACACAGCACAGAACAGTGGTTAAAGACTTGGACTCAGAAGACACTGCCTGGGCTTTTATTCTGTGTCTGCCACCTACTAGCTATAGGAGCTTAGGCAAGATACTCTGTGCCTCAGTTCCCCTATCTGCAAAATGCAGATAATAGTAGTACCTACCTCAAAGGGTCATAGTGAGAATTAAGTGAGTTAATACATGTGATGCACTTAAAATAGTGCCTGTCGTATAGTAATCGGTATGTATTTGCTTGCTATTTCTTATCCCAGACACGTGACCCCGAGAAAGAATCCATCTTTCTATTTTCATAGTGCCAGATATAGTACCATTCAGCAGAACACATTCATTCATTCCCTCACCAATATTTATCATGTGCTTACGACAGACTAGGCCCTGACTGAGAGGCCTGATCACTTCCCTTCTGGCACGGATGGTCTCGCTGGAGCGACCGGCAAGTATTGGGATACTTCTAGCTCGAGAAGTTTGGGATGTTATGGAGCACATATCAGAGGTCCTTATCTCCAACCTGTGGGGAGGAGGCCAAGTTTTCTGGAGAGAAGAGACGTTATAGCAGAGCCTGCAGGACGAGCTGGAGAAGAGAGGAGAGTGTTCTGGGTGAAGGGAAGTGCCTGCGAGAGGCATCCCATGAAAAACTGTCGAATTAAAAGAAATTCTGGCCAGCTTTGAGAAGATGAGAAACCTCACCATACTCTTAAATTTTTTTTGGTTGAAACAGGAATGCCCAGGCACTCCTGATGGTCATCCTTGAATT